ACCACAACATACAGTCATAACACCACAACATACAGTGATAACACCACAACATACAGTCATAACACCACAACATACGGTCATAACACCACAACATACAGTCATAACACCACAACATAGTCATAACACCACAACATACAGTCATAACACCACAACATGCAGTCATAACACCACAACATACGGTCATAACACCACAACATACAGTCATAACACCACAACATACAGTCATAACACCACAACATACGGTCATAACACCACAACATACAGTCATAACACCACAACATACAGTCATAACACCACAACATACAGTCATAACACCACAACATACAGTCATAACACCACAACATGCAGTCATAACACCACAACATACGGTCATAACACCACAACAAACGGTCATAACACCACAACAAACGGTCATAACACCACAACATGCAGTCATAACACCACAACATACGGTCATAACTCCTCAACAAACGGTCTAAGTACACACCGTTCACTCGCCCTGTCACTGATAATCAGTCGCCCGAAGAGTGAGGCGGTTTAGCTGTAGGTTAAGGGAAGGGTGTGTCGTTCAGTGCCTCTAACTTGATGATATGCTATAGAGGCCACCATGACATGCTTCACGAAGCAGCATGGTACTAGGTGGGTCGCACATGCAGATTATATGACACACGGCAGAATACATACTAAATACATCAAAATATATATGACATACCCCAAAATACCTAGAAATAACTTTAAAATACCCCAAAATACCTAGAAATAACTTTAAAATACCCCAAAATACCTAGAAATACTAAGAGATATCTGGGAATACCTAGGAATATTGTGCTTTGCTAGTAATTCTGGAAGAGCAGTGGATAGAGGAAACGGGTACCTGGAGTCCGAAGGCGTCTACTCCTGTACACACCTGTGTAGAGAAACGAACGGAACATTTAACAGTGTCACGTGAAACTATCTATAATGAGCAAACAGGTTTTGATCTATATGTATAGATGAGAGAGAGAGAGAGAGAGAGAGAGAGGGGGGAGGTGGGGAAGAAGGGGTTAAGTATAGGTAGGTTGAGAAGGGCGTAAACGTATTCGAAGTGCAGTATGTCAACGTCCCATCACGAAGCTCTTGACTCGTGTGACAAGTGACCCATTGACACATACTCCTGAGGCCTAAATGACAGTCTTCGCGGCCCGTGTGCAGTTACGGCCGCCTCCGTGAGCGCTCTTCACCATGCGTGAGACTAACGCCACACCCAGCGTGTATCCTCCTGTCTCCTGCACCCTCCATCACCCTTCACAATCCCTCCACTCCATCACCTCTTCCCTCCACACCATCACCCCTTCCCTCCAAAATCAACATACGGTCATTTGTGGGGCTACAACCCCACTCTGTCGTTACCTAAACCCTATATCAACCCACCAAAGTCTGCAGCTTCCCACCAACTATAATCCCTCAACCTTCTCCTCCACCCCCCCCCCACAACCCCAGATACATGGCCCCCTACCACCACGGAGACATGACCCCACCATCCCGGATACATGCTTCTGTTGCGTCCAGACGCCGTTTCCTTAACGATCGTGCTCTTCCCAAAGTATAATTTACGTCAGTTTATGCCATAATATTACGTTATTTTCCATTTGAATAGCGTAGCGTTAAACCAGGAGAAACCTTAATGCTCAGCTCTTACATAACCATTATTATTATTAATAATTTGATAATTTAAAAATTTGATAATAATAATAATTTATTATTATTATTATTTGAAGGTTTTGAAAAAATAATATAAATATTTTGTGATTATAACATTAGGAGTGCATGCAACAGTAGTATAAGCGATCTAGACTTATTAGTTTAATAATATTTAATATAAAATTATTCTCATAATTATAATGCTGATATTTAGAAGTAAATATTTGGGATTTATTGACAAGAATTAAATATTGAGTTTATTTTGCAGTGAAAATTAATTCATAAATCTCCGGTTCAGGCGTTATGAGAATTCGTAAATATCTTAGACTAACATATCTATTATTAAAATAGTGATTATTACAAACACACTCAGGGGGAAGTAAATACATTGTCATGCCTCGCTACTCAGAGATCGCGTCGCCATGCCCCAGTGACCAGACACTGGGCTTTTAACCCTGATAATGAATCATGTTGAACATCTCCTTAACTGTTGCTGTGATCACAGTGAGTCACAGTGAGGCATCAACAGTGACGCAACAAAGGACACAGAGGTTAGGTGACTTGACTTGCAGGCGATGAGTCACAATAACGTGGCTGAAATATGTTGACCAGACCACACACTAGAAGGTGAAGGGACGACGACGTTTCGGTCCGTCCTGGACCATTCTCAAGTCGATCGACTTGAGAATGGTCCAGGACGGACCGAAACGTCGTGGTCCCTTCACCTTCTAGTGTGTGGTCTGGTCAACGTGACTGACTTTGCTTATTGAATATCTTACTGGAAATTATTACTGTTGATGCAAACATTGTGATTTGTGATCTACAATGCTTAGAGAAATTGCACAAGACTCAGGCATAAGCAGGAAAATGCTCACACAAATATCACTGATATCCTTCAGGGAATTACAGCAGCTACAAAGTATTGAAGTTAAGTTGCTTGTTATGGAAGACTTCAACCATTGGATTCTGAATTGGAAAGAATTTCTTCCCAACGATTTACTGGAAAGTCTCGACAATTTTCTTCAGTGCTAAACGGAACACGAAATAAATTCTATACATAACTTAAAACAATACAAGATACATGCAGAAAATGAGTCGTTACATTAACCAATCGAAACCAATTGGCTTATGAGTTAAAAGAACGACCCAGCAAATACATCTAGGAAAGTTTGCATGATAACGAGATAACGGTTTGCATGAAGTTAGATAACCCCCACATCGTTAGTTACGACTCACACCTTGCTTAGATAACCCCCACATCGTTAGTTACGACTCACACATTGCTTAGATAACCCCCACATCGTTAGTTACGACTCACACATTGCTTAGATAACCCCCACATCGTTAGTTACGACTCTCACACAACTTAGATAACCCCACATTGTTAGTTACGACTCACACATTGCTTAGATAACCCCCACATCGTTATTTACGACTCCCACACAACTTAGATAACCCCCAAATCATTAGCCACAACGCACAGACCGCTAATAAATACCCACAAACGTGGAAAGCTGTGTTCGAGAGGCGTGATGAACAAACCGCAAATATAAATCCTTCAAAGTAGAAAGCGTGTGCGGAATCGAAAGTTAAACACCATACGAACAAACGTAGTGTAGTGTAATGTAATTAAACACCATACCTTTCGACCAGGTTCATTATCAATGTAAATTATATGGTGCATGATATACAAGTATTGTAATTGATGTTACGATCGTATTCTGATGTTATGCATCCCTTCACGCCTGGGTGAAGCTCACAGTAAGGCAATAACTTATAGGAATGCTCTGTTGGTTTCTGCTTTCCATTTTTTATTCAATTCATTGGAAATATGACTAGCATTTGACATTGTGTCATGTGAAACTAAAAGCTTGCTCGCCTGCTATAATTATGTAAACTGAGAGACAGACAGAGAGATTAAATTACGAAAATTATACATACGATAATGATTTAATGATACGATTTAAATTTAAGGATTGATTGCCTACCCCCTCCCCAATCCCGTGCTCTGTTATCGTATATATGTTTATTTATTTATTTACTTATATACAACAAGTTACATTGGGGGGTAACAGATAATATAGATATTAAGTTGATTTAACATTCTTGTAAAGCCAAGTATATATATATATAAAGCCAAGTAAAGAATGTATACATTTTTGTAATGTATAAATGATCCAGCTGTAATGATGGATACGTCAGAAGTTCCATTTGGAACTTAAAGATTATGATACTGAAGTACTAAGGAATTTAAGACTGGCTTACCACTATCTAAGCCAGCATTCTCAGAGATTAGAAATCATTGTAAAGAGGTGAATCGTTTTATGCTGGAATCCGCTTTTAAAATCTTGGACTTGTGCACGAATGGCCAGTCGGATTTGAGAATAATGGATTCTTTTTTTATCAGAGAGCTGTGGCCTCTCTAAATAATTAGAGAGGCCACAGTTTAGCTCTCTAGTTCAGCTGCTCAAATGTATACTGTATGTCACAGTAAGCCTTTTATTTTCATGAACAGTTAACGTAGATTTTGTTATTATATGCTTTAGTTTCCCCTGATTTGTGTGAGTGTGTGGTATTTATTTTAAGTGTTGACATTTTTCATTATTTTATTAGTTTAATTATGACATATATTATAATATTTGATAATAAGTTTTGTGTAATATTTATTTTCCTTACAACATTTAACTAATAATCTATAATTCATTTTAAATATTTTGTTTTTGCATAAGTTTTCTGAAAACTTTTAGTTATTATTATAATTTCGAATTAGTTTTTGGTATCTAACTTGATGATCATCAAATCTTTAATTATTTTACGTAAATATAACTGAATGATTTAGTCTGTAATTAGATTCACTTTATATTATAGTGTGTAATATTATCCAATTAAAGTTCATAGTTTTGCTGGCAGATTATAATGTAACTCTTGTGTGTTAAATCTGAAGATAAACTCGAGAAATATTCGAATCGTTATGAATTTTAATTAGATGAAAAGAAGAATATTAACAGGATAATTGCTACGTCAGTTGTTCTATTATGAAATTATTCAAGATGTTTCCTTCGTGAATTATATATTATTGTGATAATTATGTATGTTTCCTTCACGTTATGGATACCTGTATATATGTATGTTTGAACATATGTATGTTTAAATATATACCTAAAAGGGGTACCACCTCTTGTGCAAGTGTAGGGACCCATAGCCTCGGAGAAGAAAATATAGAGTACTCAGAGAATCTTTAAATATATATATTTTTGAATATATATGTACGAATATCAATCTTCCTATGTACCTTGGTAACCATTGCTCACTACCCGCAGGTGGAAGCTGTTACGAGCTGGCCAAGACGCGGGAGAGAATTGACCGTCGGTTCATCATTAGAGGGAAGGTGCTCCGGACCCGGGACAGGAGGGAGTGTGAGACGGAGTGTGACAGAGAGACGCTCTGTCTAGGCTTCAATTACAGGTCAAGTTTTTCTATAGTTCACCGCTTTTCCGGCTTTTTCTTCTTTTTTTCTCATGCCTAACCACTTGGGCTGGATGGTAGAGCGACGGTGTCGCTTCATGCAGGTCGGCGTTCAATCCCCGATCGTCCAAGTGGTTGGGCACCATTCCTTCCCGCCGTCCCATCCCAAATCTTAATCCAGACCCCTTCCAAGGGCAATATAGTCATAATGGCTTGGCGCTTTCCACCCTGAAAATTCCCTTTCTTTCTTGTTTCTCCTATACATGCATTAGGTGGTATACCCGGCAGTGCCCGGGTCGCCTTAATACCCAGGTAACGCTCACATTATCCTCCCCCCCTCTCCCATTTACACCTCCCCTCACCCTATCACATCCTTATCTTCCTCTTCCATCACCCCCCCTTCCTCCCCTTCCACTCCCTCCCACATACCTCTCCACACGCCCAACCAGCTCTTCCCTTTTCCCTCTGTCCACCACCAACACTTTAAAAGTTTTCCCTATATATTATATCGTTTTGTTGTTTTAGATTCAGCTACTCGGAAATGTTTTTCCAAGTAGCACCGGATATAGTGAGCCCGTAGTGGACTTGTATATAATATCGATCACTAACTAAATAGTTGCCACTAGAAAGTAAATCGGTCATCTTTCATGATCATGATAGTGTATGGAGGCTGGGCTGAACAATTCACATCCACAGACTTCATGATGGAGGCTCTTAAATGAGGAAATCAACTAGAGCTGTGAGGTGGACGCGAACCTTCGACCAAAACCAGTCACGTACTCTTCCACTAGACCGCCGCTGACTTCTGAAAGTCATACAACCGGATTTCTACTGAAATCACAGGAAGTGTGGAGGTCTGGAGGCCCTTGGTGAAGCCAGTCCCAGTGTCTGCCAGTGTCTACATATGAACCACAGGCACTCTGGTGGTTGAACAAAGTGGTCCTACACCTTACGCACTTCAAAAACATAAATAAATCACATTAACTTGATTCATATCAATGAGAACTTCCACTTGAGCTGTGAGGTGGCGCTTGTGTGTGTTTTAGGGGCTTTAAGGTAGAGTCCCCCTTCAGGGGATGGCACTACGGGGCCGACCCCGACACCCCTTATGTTTCTCTGGATAAAATCACCGTTAATTCTGCAAAATTTAATGGGTCTAGCCCCGAGCGTCTGGTCTCGAACATCGGACAGACAGACAATTTCATATAAAGATTGAAAGGGAAGTTTTAAAAGGAGTGAAGTTTGCCATCATCCTACAACATCAAAACTGAGCCACACACAGAAACTATTTGGATAGAATAGACAGACAAAAGGACATATATTCTCTTAAATAAATATATATAGATATATATGTCCTGCCACCATCTTCCTCAGTTAAAAACATAATCCTCCCCCCAAAAAAGTGTTTTATATATGATGTAACAACACTTGTGATTACAACTTGTCAAGTGATGCTGTACACAGGCTGAGAGCCCAACACTTCCCTCACACCACAACGCACATCTTCAGTACTCTGTGCACAGTTTCATATGTTTTTGCACTAAGTCAGGGGACCCAGGGGACCTGCACTAGAACGGGGTAATTGTTATATGTTGAGAGAATCATCCTCTGGAGTTGTTAAGGTCACCATAATATATGATAGAGTTCAATAAGGTCAGGAACCTGTACACCAGTAGATTGACAGATGAGAGGCGGGACCAAAGAGCCAAAGCTCAGCCCTCGCAAGCACAAGTAGGTGAGTACAACTGGGTAAGTTCTACACTATTTATTTCCCATTTATTCAGGCAATTCCTCATTTATTCACTTTCATTCCTCCTAGAAACTTAGACTGATCGATACAGCGTCGGCCTGGCTATTTGCAGGTTTGCGTTCGATTTCCGATTGTCCACTTCTTTTAGGCACCGTTCCTTCCCTCCGTGCTATCCCATCTCCTTCCAAGAGCCATGTAGGCCTACTAGTCATGCACTTTCTCCTCATAATTTACCTTCTATTCCCAGATAATGAGTAGCCATAATTGTCACGCATTTTAAATAACTGTTCTACGGTGAAAAAAAGGGTAAAGTGTGTCAGGAGGTCGGCTTTTGTTTGTCCTCCTCTCGTGTGATAAGATCTGCACGCTCTCATTTGCATACCTGCGCGGTGTGGGGGGGTTAATACCTGCGCGGTGTGGGGGTTAATGCCTGCGCGGTGTGGGGGATAATACCTGCGCGTTGTAGGGGATAATACCTGCGCGGTGTGCAGTCAATACCTGAGGAGGGTATTATCACGACATTTGGCAACAAAATCTTATATTTTATCATAATCATGAACCATTGTTGTCTATAGTGAATGATTGCATGCAATATGATGTAATACGTGAGGTAATTGTTATATATGTTGAGAGAATCATCCTCTGGAGTTGTTAAGGCCACCATTATATACACCTATAGTACCACCAAGTATACTTCAGCCATCAGCATAGTCCAGGGTAAAAGTATACTCTCAGTATATATATATATATACAATGAGAAGTGGAATTTACCACTTTTTGTGCATATCATCGTATGGTCACCATTGAACTCAATAATTATATTGAAAAAATACTCTATACTAAAATTCAGGTTAGAAATGTATCAAACAATATACACTTTTCAGAAATCTTATAAACAAAATACACTTTTCAGAATTCTTTTAAACAAAATACCCTTTTCAGAATTCTTTTTTTTTAAATACCCTTTTCAGAAGTCTTTTTTTAAACAAAATACCCATTTCAGAAGTCTTTTTTTTAATGAAATACCCTTTTCAGAAGTTTTTTTTTAACAAAATACACTTTTCAGAAATCTTTTAAACAAAATACCCTTTTCAGAAGTCTTTTTTTAACAAAATACACTTTTCAGAAAACTAGTTAACAAAAACTGTTTTTGTTATCCAGTGTGTGTATAACGGTGGGAATTCAACAGTCACGAAACAGTAACAATATTCATAATTATATGTTGTTGCTACAGGTTCAAGAGGCAGGGATACGAACAGTACAGAGACAACTGTGAACTCAGCACCCAGGGCGCCAGCAACTCCCATGACTTCACCCGGGACGAGGATTTTGACTTCTACGCCAAGAGCAGGAGCGGCCGCAATTGCTATTAGTAAGCACTTGTAGACTTGTTTTCAGTTATAAGTATAGATCTTCGTCTCGATATACAGGCGTGTCAGTAGCGTATGTTGAAAGTGTATTTTAATGACTGTCATTACATACACACACATATATATATGCATACACACATTATATATATGTGTGTGAGTGAGTGTGTGGGGTACAGTCTTACAAGGGGGGGGACTGAATAAAAACATAAATGTCTTGCGAAGAGGTGAGTAATTGTATAAATATCTTGTCAGGGAGATGGTCAGTAACAATATAAATGTTGAAAACAATACCCAATCCAAAAGCCAAGTTTGAGGCAGGAAAGAATGACTTTAGTGATGGACAGCATTGTTCCATCACAGTTTGAAGGAAACATAATGGCAGCTGTGAAGGCTTGGTTAGAGCTGGCCTTCCCGCCTGACAGCTTAGCTTCTCTTGCTTACCAACACGCACTCCCATATCTCCACAACTCCCTCATAACCACGTGCTCGGAAAAAAACAGGTGATGCTCATCAACCACGCGGTACTCAGTCTCAGAATAGCAGTTCCTTCAGAACATGGAAGCTGAGGCAGCTCACTGGCACGTGAGGTATCAACCTCTCGTAAGGACATATTCTGTAGGAACATGTCTAACACCACGCTCACGCCACAATGCTCCCTTGACCTATCCATCTCCATAAGGATTTAAGATGTATGGTTTGAAATTGGAACATATTCGTGAACAATTCTTGCATTAGTGATGAAAATTCTGTTTGGAGCTCTAGATGCACAAAGAACAAGCCTCAACAATTTATGCAAAATCTATAATAGCATTTGTTATAGGCCTAAAAATTCTAGAAAAACTTGTAGAAATGCTAATTTCCAAATTATCAAACCAAAGTTGAGAAGATGACTGAGCCATTGAAAATAGCCAGGTCATCTTATTCAAGAAAAAGGTGGAATTGAAAATAGGTATATTTTCTGATGCAAGAGATGCACATGACAAGTTGCCTGATCTTGACCAGATATATGGGGAGAGGGAAGATAAGTAAACAACTAATTACTTGAGATGAAGTTAATAAACGAACATAACAAAACCCAAACAACTCCCCCCGATGAAGTAGTTTCCAAGATGAATGTAAAGGATATCCTATTCATCCCTCGTTAATCACGGTCAATTAATCCCAAAGAGTTAGGCTCTGTTCAAGAATTGTGGAGAGTAACCTCTGTAATCCCACTTTGTTAATGGCAGATCAACCACACTCATTAAACTTCCCTCCATTGCTCATGACAGAGAGAGAACTGGGTAAATGTTTGATTTAGAGTGAAAAGCAGCAGCAAGTGAGGTGCTTCAGGGCTTGGTCCTGGGACCTATACTCTTTACCTTATGCAACAATGATTAAAATTAATTGAGCAGCGTCATTAATAAGTTTTCTGGAGAAGGAAACAGAGGTTGGCTTACTATTAAGCCCTTATTAGTAAGTAATTAAGCTTATTTCTGGATTTGTGTGTTTATATGTGAACAAAGTAATGAATCTGACGTAAAAGTATAGAATCAATGAAGATAAACATTAGTGTTACCGAATTTCAGGTTTTGTTTTTATGTAAAACAAAGATTTAAAGCGAAATAAAACAAATTGGGAAACGGCAGACAATTCAATGTGAAACATAACAAAAAAAGAACGTTTGCAAAATGTGGCAACCTCGGTAAAACAATGCATAACCTCACACAGGAGGATATCCTGGAGCTCTGTTTTTGCTTCGGTTAAAAAAATAAATCATAACCTCACGATTACGTGAACACACACACACACACACACACACACACACACACACACACACACACACACACACACACACACACACACACCATGAGTGTGTGTGTGAGTGTTCGCATGGAGTGGACGTGAGTGTTCACGTCCATGTGAACAATGGATCTGTTCACATATTACCATCCTTACTAATTTTGTTCACAATTTCAGTAATTTTATAAGCTCAGACTATACCTGACTTTTCCGTACATCAGTTAGGTACTGAGTGACTTGCCGAGGGCAAATCTGACAGGCAGGCTCTCTCATTTCATGAACCAGCTCAACTCTGATTGGCTAATATTTTATCTCTCACCCAATTATACCCCCATCATAATGTCGCCTATTTACATTCGCTAGAACACAGCACGTGGTGTAGTAACGGAAGTGACGTCAGAGCCTCGTTAAACACCATTGTTTCTCCTCGCCCGAGAGACATAATTTTGCATGCATAGGACATGAAATATATTCTAAACAGCTGAACACATCCTTAACTAAATACAACGCGTCCTCGCATTTACTTGACTGGTGTTTGGCTCGCTAAGGAGCAGCACACTGGAAGGAGACCCGTCGACCTACCGCTAATGCTCTCATGTTTAACACCTATTTGGTCAATTTTCCCTCTTTTTGAGTGAATACCCGGCGGTACCCGGCGGTGTCCGGGTCGACCTGGTGATCGAGTCGCCCAAAGCATTAATGTGTGTGTCAGCATGTATAACGTGCATCAGTATGTATCACGTGTGTCAGGATGTATCGTGTGTTCAAGAGAGAGAGAGAGAGAGAGAGAGAGAGAGAGAGAGAGAGAGAGAGAGAGAGAGAGAGAGAGTGAGGTGCAGAAGGAAGGGATGCGGGGAAACCGAAGGGAAGAAAGAGGAATAGTGTGGGGAGAGAAAAAGAGAGAGAAGGGCGGATTTTGGGGAGAGGGAAGAAGAGAGTGGAAGATGGGGTGGAGATATTAGTAGAGGGTAAGAGCGGAGCGTAGCCCTAACACCACTGGGACACCCATGAACAATATGTACATATATAATGGTACAAATCGCAGGAACTAGTTACCATGTGATGGGACCACTGCCATCTGGACTTCATTTATACCACAGTTAAATCCAATAGATTCACGTAATAAGAAAGTCCTCGGAGCAAAGATTAAACCAGCATCCTGGGTCACCGTAGGTGCGCGTCTAGACAGCTCCAAGACGTCGGTTCGATACCCCCGATCTGCTCCAAAAAAATATTTTCATTGATGAATCGCGTTATTGGGATGTGACTGTTGATTCATGCAGGTTGAACAGCACCAGTCACCATGTACATCAGCGTGCTCTAAAGAACACTAAGAAAATATGCAATTACTTTTTTAGTTGAGCTTGGGATTGGACTTTGGTCTCCAGAGTGTACAAGCAGACATGCTCTGCTTGTGGTCTCCAGAGTGTACAAGCAGACATGCTCTGCTTGTGACCACTGACGGTACAATATACTGAGAAAACATTCCTTGCTCTGTGACTAACAGCTCACAATACAGAGTAATTTTATCCTTTAGAGCATGTGAGTATGTATATGTGAATTATGCAACCTAACATCCCCCACTATTTTGCTGTGGCAGCAGTGGCGGTGAAAGTGGCGGCAGTGGTGGAAGCTGGGGAGGCGGCAGTGGAGGTTGGGGCGGCGGCGGACTCAGCAGTGGTCTTACTGACAGCAGGAATGGTAACTCAAACTCTGTCGTGTCTAGTGTTGACTCCAGTAATGCACTTTACCAGCAGTAATACCTTTCACTGGCAGACTCTGTATCGTGCACGTCACTTTGTCTCCTTGTCTGATGTAGTCAGTCATCTTCATCGTCATCTGAGCACCATCACAGTAAACTCACTCCTAAAGAGGCACTTCTTAAAATATTCTTCTAGACATCTACGACTCTGTTGCCATATAAGTGTTCATTCGCAATATTTTCTCTCTAACTCTAAATTTATTCAACCTGAATCCAGTGTTACGAGTTGTGTGTTCAGTTGATATATTGAACACACCATTTGCTTCCTTCCTATTAAAAAAATCTATCCCTGTATACACTTCACATAATCTACTTGTGTTTCATAGAAATTTTACAGTTTTCTGTAGTATAGCGATCCAAAAAGCACAGCTTAAAGTCCGCCACAAACTCGCATCACTCTTCTATCACTATTTCCGTAGCTCCTACTCTCAAGATTTAGTGAGTAGTGTTTTCTGTCTTCAAGTATGGTCTAATAATGCATCTTCCTCTAATTTAGAGCTTTAGCTATTGCTTATAAACGAATAAAACTGCTATATTATAGAACAGACAAGAACACGTATGATATCCTAGATACTAAACCTCAATTTTTAACTCACTGATATTGTTATATTGTTCTTGGTTATGCACTATGGGAAACTTTATCTTTGCAATGAACTGCGCATTAAAACGTTTCAGGTAATAACTTTGTTCTCATTTGGAGAGGTTGTTTAATGTTAGTAACTTTCCATGCTTCAGACACACTGTCATTGTTTATTGATTTATAAAACATGGTTGTTGACATAACAATTCCTTTCAATCTAAGAAAAACTCTAAAACAAGCATATTACCAGTTCCTGGAAACTGTTTTGTGTCAATTAGAATAAACCTAAGCTTATGTAACTTAGAATTTATAAGACTTAGTAGTTATAATTGGTTAATGCAAAGCAAAAACTGCTTTTTCAAAGTTTCACCCAACATGACCCTTGAGAGCACGGGTGATGGCTGTAGTGTACTCAACTATTACGTGGAGGTGTGTGTGGAGGTCCTCGAGCACATATTTACCATTTATAACCCAACCCTCACACATATGAACTGATATGTAAGTCACGACGTTTCGGATCGTCATATACCGAAACGCCGTTATTTAGATTTAATTTTACATGTGTGTAGGTTGTTTCACTTTATTCAGCCACGTTATTAATTATGTTTACCTAGTGGCCATTGTCTCTAGTGGCCACGTAGAGAACATGGAGCCTAGTGCCTACTAATTCTCTATTTGTTTAATACGATTTTTTCCAGTACATAATAAAGAAAAATGCTGAAGGCCCTATTGGCCCATCCGAGGTATTATATATATTGGCATATATATGTAATTATTAAGTAATTCCACGTCTATTATCAGGTAAATTGTTCCACAAATCAACAACTTCTTCCCCAACTAGTATTTACCCAGGTCTTGATGCTTACCAAACCAGTATTTACCCAGGTCTTTTCTGAATTTAAACTTTTCAATTTATGTCCACTGTTTCAAGGTCTATTTTGAGATGATATATTTAAACTTTATAAAATATATCTATATATTATAGTACTTCTGTTTCTTCTTCTGAAAACTGTTTCCAACTTATTTTTGTATCGCCTGTAAATATGTAAACGTTGCTGTTCACTTCTGAACCAAAATAGTTTATTTATAAGGTAAACATCAGAGGTCCCAAGACAGAGCCCTGAGGAACTGTCCTTACACTCGTATTTAACTGAAGTTATACTAACTCTGCTTTCTGTGAAATAACTAAACTCTAATCCAACTAAGGATAGTCCCTCCAATATCATGTGCCTCAACTTTTTAGTGAGTGTCTCATTGGTCACAGAATCAAAGGCGTTATTAAACTCAAAGAATAAAATTCAGAAGTGTTTTAGTTTCAGGTTGATCTTATCTCTGAAATCGACGGTAGATAGGCTATTTAATCGAATTACTACTGCCGCCAGGAAGGAAAACAACCTAGTAGAGTGTTCTTCCTCTCGTGTGTCCTGTTTGACTTAGTAAAGAAGTTGTCTAGATTTGCGTTATCCAATTTGATTTGTATCTTAAGTGCCTCATAGAGGTCAGTCTTGTTTGGCCTTGCTTAAAAAGAGTTGTCAGTAGTGAGGTTCTCATCCTCTCTTGGTGTGTGAGTTGGCTATGTTTTGAGATGATTGTCATCATCCTCTGTTGTACTTTATCCACAGTGGTACTGTAGTCTTGTTACATTTCGTGCCCGAAATGTCTTGCCCTTTCCTCTGGCGTTTCTTGCCCGAAACGCTGTGCGTATAAGTGACTTAAGGCATTGTATGTACTAGCTCTTTCTAGAGATCCAACATTATGTTTGTAACTCATTTTGAGTGTACGTCACACACACAGAGATCACACTAACGTGATGCATCAAATGAACAAATCCACAAGGGCCGTGACGAGGATTCTACCCTGCGTCCTGGAGCATCCCAGACACTGCCTTAATCGACTGAGCTACGACAGGGTAAAAAAAAAAGAACTTCGGTTTCAACCCTTTTTACCCTGTCGTAGCTCAGTCTATTAAGGAAGTGTCTGGGATGCTCCCGGACGCAGGTTCGAATCCTCGTCACGGCCCTTGTGGATTTGTTCATTTGAATGTACGTACTTTTATCTGAATGAACATTTGATTTAATTTGACATGGAGGCCCTAGGAAAGGAGAGTGAACTGCACGACCATTTTCTTTTCCTTGAAGTCAATAGTTCGTCAGACTATTTCATGTGTTATTTTTAAAGTACTTTTAGTTGTTGTTAACATCTGCTCTAGAATTCCGGGGTTTAAAATGCTGAATTGTTTATGATATCATAGTGACTTGACCACTTACCGACAGGTAAAGCATGCTCGAGTAACGTTTAATGAACAGATGATCAACTTTTACATCGTTTAACCATTGTTAAATGACCGTCGTTTGCCGAGAATTGTCATGAGGGTTGAGAAGCTCATGTACACTACAATAATAATAATTATAATGATAACAATAATAATTATAATAATTAATAATAATAATTTTTATTCAAAAATATTCAGAATAACAAAAAGATACAAAAGTTGCTTATTTGTTGCATAAAGATGCGTATTTAATATAGTTATTTATACGCAAATCGTATCGGGTATAACATGAAAATCTAAGACGCAAGGTCCTCTTTATACCCCTTTGGCTTCTAAGGTGTTATCGTGAGTGTGACTGAGTTAGAACACTAATATTGCAGATCCTGTTGTGACATTTTGGTCATATTACTATTTTGGTGGCATATTAGCTTGTTCGGAACGAGTCTTCGCATTCTGTGTTGATCATTTGCCGAAATCATTAACGATTCCGGTATTTGGTTGGTAATTTCGTGTCAATAGATATTATGACCAAGTCCTTTCTGCTGGCGAGAAGTCTAGTTCAACAACTTTGCCGTATAAACTCATGCACATAGCAACAACAGAAGGAAAAAAAAGACTCTCTGAGAGGAGGCGTTGACAAAGTTCGCGGGAGTGTTTAGAAATACCTAAGTCTGCCATTTCGTTTTCTATAAGCTGTGGACTTCATCACATGCACTTTACGTTTTCTATAATCGAAATAATCCTCCATATATGAAATTTAAACTAATTCTTGCCAAAATTAATACTAATATTTTGGCAAATGACAATACAATAAATGTATATACCATGTCATGGTCTAGTCATAGGAACATAGGTTCGAACCCTCATCACTTCTACGGATTTTGTCAATACAATCTTGGAGATTCACATTTACAGTGAAGAGAATCGAACTGAATTAACACATTAAATTTATAACTATCATATCAATATTAATCACCGCCGAATTGTCAAAATATTCGAAATAAAAACACCTGAATTGGCTTGTTACAGTTATCAGGTATCTTGTGGGTTCAGGCTCATTAGTGCTAGAATAATTTTTTTTTTTGAGATATATACAAGAGTTGTTACATTCTTGTACAGCCACTAGTACGCGTAGCGTTTCGGGCAAGTCCTTAATCCTATGGTCCCTGGAATACGATCCCCTGCCGCGAAGAATCGTTTTTTCATCCAAGTACACATTTTACTGTTGCGTTAAACAGAGGCTACAGTTAAGGAATTGCGCCCAGTAAATCCTCCCCGGCCAGGATACGAACCCATGACATAGCGCTCGCGGAACGCCAGGCGAGTGTCTTACCACTATACCACGGAGACTGCAAAATTCATGAAACCATCAGCTAATTTGACCCTGTGATGAATAACAATGTCAAAGGTCAGATAGATAATTAAAATAATGATGAGGCGAAATCATATACATCAACGCTTTAGATTTTGATGCACAGCCGCGTGGATCAACGCCTTAGGTCGTGAGGCAAGATCGTGTACGTCAATTCTACGTCGTGAACGTCAGTTGTACGTCAGTTGTACGTCGTGTACGTCAATTGTACGTCGTGTACGTCAGTTGTGCGTCAGTTGTACGTCGTGTACGTCAATTGTACGTCGTGTACGTTAATTGTACGTCGTGTACGTCAATTCTACGTCGTGTACGTCAATTCTACGTCGTGTACGTCAATTATACGTCGTGTACATCAATTATACGCCGTGTACGTCAATTGTACGTCGTGTACGTCAATTCTACGTCGTGTACGTCAATTACACGTCGTGTACGTCAATTATAAGTCGTGTACGTTAATTGTACGTTTCTTGCTTCAAGAATCACACCAGATGAGTTTGAAGTTATTAACTGCTTCTGTGAGTCAATCTTTCAGTATTGCAAGGAATGAGTTTCAAAAGAGCATATTTTCCTCATGAAAACAATATCCCCTTGTGTATATCATCCCTCATTCAGCATACGCACCTGATGTTAGTATACCTTGTATGTCTAGTAGTCATCATTCATGTGTTATACACACTCCTCGTGGCAGTATATCATATTCCTTTCCTCATGTTCAGCATCATTCAAGCGATATATTCAACTTGAAATAACATTCATCTTCCTCATATGCATCATCCATGATCTGGGGCCAGATTCACGAAGCAGTTACGCAAGCATTTACGAACCTGTACATCTTTTATCAATCTTTTGCGGCTTTGTTTATAATTATTAAACAGTCAATGAGCTCCGAAGCACCAGGAGGCTGTTTATAACAATAACAACAGTTGATTGGGAAATATTCCTGCTTGTAAACTGTTTAATATATGTAAACAAAGCCGTCAAAGATTGAGGAAAGATGTACACGTTCGTAAGTACTTGCGTAAGAGCTACGTGAATCTGACCCCTGATTGCCTCACCTAATAGCGTTATAACTTACTCATTTCTCACCTCATCTCATGACCGCATATCGTCCTCATATACACCACCGCCTCTCATACTCTCTCACAAGCTCCCAAATCATCACGTAATCTTAACTTTCTCTTCAATATATCACTAACCTCCTCCTCCTTGCCCGCGCGGCCGTCAGAGTGCTTCCGGTTGGTGGTGACGGAGTCGGCGCTCGAGGGAAGAGTCGTTCGGGACAGCTTCACGGTGGCTGATATCCAGGAATGTGAGCGGGAATGTGCGCGATCTAGACGCTACATGTGCAAGTCCTTCTCCTTTAGGTGAGTCCTTCTTTTGGAGGATAAGTGCTTCTCCTTTAGGTAAGTCCTTCTCCTTTAGGTGAGTCCTTCTTTTGGAGGATAAGTGCTTCTCCTTTAGGTAAGTCCTTCTCCTTTAGGTAAGTCCTTCTTTTGGAGGATAAGTGCTTCTCCTTTAGGTAAGTCCTTCTCCTTTAGATAAGTCCTTATCTCTTAAATGAAACCTTCAAGAGAGTCCTTCTCGTAGACTAGTCCTTATCCATCAGGTAAGTCCTTCTTTCTTAAACAAATCCTTCTTTCTTAGACAAGTCCTTCTTTCTTAGACAAGTCCTTCTTTCTTAGACAAGTCCTTCTTTCTTAGATAAGTCTTTCTCTTTTAGGCTAAATCATAGTCCTTGAGGTAAGTCCTCCTCTGTCGAACAAGTCTTTCTCTCTCTGACATATCCTTCTTATCCAGTCAAATCCATCTTTGGATAATTCCTTTTCTACATAAAAGGACAGAAGATAACAAGGTGTGTCGATAAACTAAGAGTTTCTCAAGGCAACACTGACGCTCTGGAAAATAAGTCACACTAATATTCTGCCACTTTAAAAATAATACGCTCCCGGGGGAGAGGTAATCTTAGTGATTTGAGAAGTGGAAGTAATCTTAGAACATTTCTGGAACAGTATAAGCTTCAGCTTTTCAAAATTTCAGAAAATTTCCTGCAAATGAAAAGAGAACGGCCATAAAGTAGACAAAGCCCTTATCTTGAGGTTATCTTGAGATGATTTCGGGGCTTAGTATCCCCGCGGCCCGGTCCTCGACCAGGCCTCCTTTTTGTTACACACCCGCAAGAAGCAGCCAGTAGCAGCTGTCTAACTCTCAGGTACCTATTTACTGCTAGGTAACAGGGGCATTAGGATGAAAGAAACATTTTGCTCATTTGTCTTCACCTCCACCGGGGATCGAACTCGGAACCTCAAAACTACGAATCCGAAGCGCTGTCCACCCAGCTGTCAAGCACCTGAAGCCAAATGCTGCAAAACAGCGGAGAAAATATGAGCTCAAGCCAAAGGATCTTTATGGGCTTTTTTTATATAAAGTATGTGAGACCCGCTCTTAATTATGAAGCCCCGTCATGGAACCCTGCAAGAAAATACTCACGATTAAACTAGAAAATATGCGTGAGCGCCCACACACACACACACACACACACACCACACACACACACACCCACACACACACACACACACACACACACCACACCACACCACACACACACACACACACCACACACACTCACACCCACACACACACACACACACACACACACACACACACACACACACACACCCACACACACGTAACTGTGAACACAGAACTGACGTAGAGAAAGTGAAGGAGGGCGGACGCTACGCTTCCTGCTTGTGACCTGCTGAAAAGTCATGAGTCGGGACCAATGACTCTCACCTTTCTCTTAATCAAGTTGTTCTTATGAACACCTTTAAAAATAATACAATCTCTTTATATTTAATATTATATTTTCTTTGTTTCTGTTTTAGGAATTTTTGAAACGAAATTTCTTAGATAATTGCAATTATTCAGTGCATTTATAAGATAATATAAATTGTAAAAACACAATATATTGTTAAAATATTCTCTAAGATTTCATTATAACATTTTTAAGAGTGTAAGACAGATAAATATTAACATTAGTAATCATACAAAATTTATCGTCACCGAATTTTTTTTTCGTTGAAAGAGAAACTTGATTGTTGTATATAAGAACGAAGCACTTCGCTGCGGTGTTAAAAATAACGAAACGTTAGCGAGAGGAGGCTTCACCGCGGCCAATCAGATAACGAAACAAGTAATTAAGTGGTTTGATGTGAATATTTATTGCTGTGGTTCATGTCTTAAGCAACAGGATTGTTGTAAATACATTCAACAGGACCTGTTGTGGGAGACAAACCAGGGAGGTGACGTGGACCAGGCCATGGACTAGGGTAGTGGATAGGTGGACAAGGGTAGGGACAGGTGGACAAGGGTAGGGACAGGTGGACTAGGGTAGGGACAGGTGGACAAGGGTAGGGACAGGTGGACTAGGGTAGGGACAGGTGGATGGGGGTAGGGACAGGTGGACGAGGGTAGGGACATGTGGACAAGGATAGGGACAGAAGTATCAGAGTAGGGACGGAAGGAGCAAACAAAGAGACAAGTGGAACAGGATATGGACAGATGCAGCAAGTCAGGGACAGGTATAGGAGGGAAAGTACAGACAGACAGACGGAGAGAGGAGGAGCAGAACCAGGAGACGTGGCCATAAACAAGACAGCAAGAACAGTCTAGCAGAACTAGTTCCTCTCGCCAGACAGACACGACCGCCACCCAACACTGATAACAGTGATCAACATGACCCGGAACAGTTGACAGCTTCTATAAGACTAACCAGTCACGAGGAGCTGGATGCCGGTGTGACGCCAACCATATATCGAGGACCGTATATACAGGACCACCGTGTGAAGAGGGTCCTATGAGAATTTATTACCGGAGACTTGTCGAGCAGGAAGAGCGCTGACACACCAGCTTATAGCTGGAGATTCTCACTCAAGGTTCAGTTTTTGTTCACAAAACTCAACACAAGTGGCCAAAAAAAACAGACCGATCAGGTGAATGTCTTAGGAAATTGAAAACCTGCTCAAGCGGCAATGAACATGCTAATTAAAAACCAACTGCTGAAAGTAACAGTATTTACGAGCAATAATACTAATGAATTCTAATGCCTTTGCTGAATATTTCCAACTTTTGTACTAAACTTCAGCTCTACAGACATCTGTAAAGCCAATATTGACCAGGCATCTTGGCCACATCTTTGGAAGAAGTTCAAGGAATGTAGATGAAATCTTTGGAGCAAAATGAGAGAATCGAACCAGCGTGTCCCGGGTAACCCCAGACGTGCGCGCCTCGCCAGTGAACCAAGACATGCGTCTACGGTAACCCCAGGACCCGGATCCGATCCTGATTCAAAGATCTTCTCATGGATATATCACGTTATTGTGATTTCATTGTGCATGAGGGCTGTGGCCCTCTACTAGAAGACAGAAATGACACTTAAAATGAACTACTGACCAATATCCTCTACACTCCAGCTGTTGGGTGGAGTCCTTGTTAAGGAAGTCCTTGGAAGGCCTTGTTAAGGAACTAGGCAACGACCATGTTAACAATTATTTGATTATTAGAAACAAGGTCTCAGAGATACTACATGTACGTGAGAAATGTTACAATGGATGGCTACAACATGGAGCCAGAACGTTTGTTATGGAGAAGCCATGTGTGTCATTGTTTAGGATATTGCTGGATAATTGGACTGGGTGTGATGCTGGAAAGAGGGCAGGTGGCAGGGTTTGGGGGGAGGGCAGGTAGGAGGGCAGGGGGAGGAACATGAGAGGGCAGGGGAAGGCAGGTAGGAGGGAAGGGGGAGCAACATGGTTGGGTAGGGGAAGGCAGGTGGGAGGGCAGAGGGATTCACATGGGAGGGGCAGGGAAGGCAGGTGGCATGGCAAGTGGCAGGCCCAGGTGGAAGGGTAGGTGGGAGGGCAGGTGGCTGGGCAGGGGGGGGGGGGGCAAAGAGAGGGCAGGTGGGAGGGCATGAAAAGGAGAGGCTCTCTCGTGGCTCCCAGCTATGTAGGTCACAGCTCCCGGAGATAACTTTCACCTGGGCAACGTCGCGTCGGTCGCTTACGCTCCACTTCAATAGCACTGCTGCAGGGACTCACCTGTATGTTGGCGTACGGTACCTCGCGTCACCGGCACACCTGTATAGGTCAATACTAGTATCGTCACATTACCCACTTGTCTCACACTCACTCATGTGTACTCACGTTACCTGCTGAGGAATCACGTAAGGATGTTTTTACTCTGTAAACATCAACATATGACAAGAGCCGGCAACACTGTCCTGCACGTGTCCTCTCTATTTGTAAACATCAGCACGTGGCAGGAGACGGCAACACTGTCCTGCACGTGTCCTCTGTTTGTAAACATCAGCACGTGGCAGGAGATGGCAACATTGTCCTGCACGTGTCCTCTCTATTTATAAACATCAGCACGTGGCAAGGGACTGTACACAATCCGGTCATCGTAGAGGACTTACTGCCATGGCCTAAGGCCTTTTCCTACAGTATAACAACATAATAGTATTTATCATGCATTAAATCTTCAAGTGCTTGTTACAAAACAATGTCAAAATAAATTAAAGCTATTAATAATTGTAATAGTAGCAAGATTTAAAATTGTGTTAATTATACTGTAGTTATCAGTAATATTAATGATAAATAACAGTAAAATTAATAATAACAGTAAAATTTCTAATAATATCAGTAACATTAATAATAAATAATAATGAATAATAATAACAAGAAAAATAATGAAAGGTCTCCACTTGGAAGGTATTACCGTGGCTCAATGAAGAACAAGAACTGTTTCCTGAGTGACCAGGAGCACCGAGACCTCTCCTCCTACAACCTGGTGAAGGAGAGAGAGTCAGACTTCTACGAGCGACGCCTCTACGACAGGGAGTGCGCTGTGGGTAAGTGAGAGAGAGGGAGGGAAAGTGAGAATATGAGATAGAGACAGGGGAAAACTGACAAGACGGATTAAGATATAGAGGAACAATAAGAGGCAGACAGAGAGCGTCGAAGCATCATCTTGACCCTTATTTCGCCCTTCAGACGAGCTCGAGTATGAGGACCAGTACCCCCCTGGTGAAGGCAAGGCGGTGGTAACGGGAATCCGTTGCTACCGCGACCACTGCCGGGAGGACCGAAAAGCCGGGTATTTCTTCTGTGAAACGGACCACACGGGTGCCTGGGACTACTGCTGCAGACCCCGTGCTCGATGTGGCTACTCTGAGGACTACCCAATTCCATGGTATGTTGGTGTAATTGGTACACTTGGAATTCGTCTTTTTGTTTTTGACTTTTCAAACCAGTTCTCAGTTCTTATGTTCAATGCTAGACTCTGGTGATTAACATAGTAGTTTAGGCTGTATTGAATACTGTAAATCAATTAAACAATGAAAGTAGTATCATACATCAGCAGCTGCAGTATACCAATTAAGAATGAACTTGTTGCACCTGTGTTAGTCTTCATACATTATATTGACCAGGTAAACTATTAACAGAGAAAAAAGCCTACACAACTGATTTTTCTTTACTGTGTTGCAATATGTCAACATATTGCAATGTAGCGATGTTAAAACACTGATGGTGTGGCCGAGTATCTCCCGTGAAGATCAAGGATACAATTAATTCCTGTCTCCGGCGACAGTGGCAAAAGCAATGATCCTGATGATCCTGAAAGATTCTTCGTGCTTCGACTACAAAATATCAGGATTGATACGAAGCGGGTTTTCTCTTCACATGGTCTTCAATCTGACCAATGTAGACAACTAAACCGCTTGTCTACTCTGGCTTGAATAACTGCTGGCGGTCATATTATAACTTGTGTAATACTAAGCAGCAGCAGCAGCAGCAGCAGCAGCATCCTCTAATGTGTAGCCAATGACTTGACATCAGCAAGAGGAGATGGGATCATGGAAATTATGTCCACTGGCTGTGTGTTTTAAGTCGGCTCCAGATAGCCTATCTGACACGCGGGCCCTGGCATTGATTCACTATTATGTTAAAGCTTGATCAGTCATTACCCACAATATTGTCAGCTGTTCCAACTGCATTAAACACGTCTTCTGAGGGAATGATGGAAGTCATGTTAGAGTCCCGAGAAATGCCATCTTTTCTCACGTAAGATAAATATTTTTTGTTGTTGAAAGGTTGCCAGGATTCAGTCTGTCAGGGGTATCGTGCCAGGCAGGCTTGGTGCCTCGTGGCTATGCAGTATTCATAAAAGTGGAACATAACTTCTCCTATGATCGAAAATTATGACTGTTTTGAGCGATAATAAATGTTTTACGTGACTCATATTACTGTCTCGTATTTGTGACTTTCATGTTCAATTGCACTACACCAAATTTTTAGTATTTTCTGATGAGAACTGGATAATTAATGCTAAACTAATTATATATTCCTTTCATTTGTAATCACATATAAATTCCAACTTTAACAAATTAATTTAACAGCTGTTGGAAATGTACCTCAAAATCCCTAATCATCATGTGTCCAACACATGACGCAGATGTTATATCGCCTGGTTATATTCATAACACAGGTGTGTTATGAATATTCACATTCACTAATAATTATACACATTCACATTCACTAATTAATTATAATAATTAACACTAAGAATAATTATATTCACATTTTCACAGATGTTATATCGCCTGGTTATATTCATAATTTCTAAGAAATGTCACCATTCCCCACACACATATGTCTTTACAGGTGCTATGTAGGTCGAGTGGGTCACAATCAGTGGCGGCCGTGTAACGACAAGGGCAGGGAACGAGACTACCTACACGAAGACCCTCACCCAGAAGCCGACCAAAACCTCACCACACAGATGCCTATGACCACTCCCTATATCGAAGTCGTTGACCTCAACAACTAATAGATATGTTCATCTCTACAGCCCTTTCCTGATATCAATTTCGAAGAGGTTTAGTGATAGCTGGCAAGATTTCACCTTTGCTCATATCACATGCTTTTGATTGGCAAAAGTGTCAAATTAAGCATTTTGTTTCTGGTTCTTGGTAAAGGTACTAAACAGGTGATAAAGGGGGGAGTTATCAGGGGAAAAGCACCAAGCCATTACGACTATATAGCACTGGGAAGGGGTCAGGATAAGGATTTGGGAAGGGACGGGGGAAAGGAATGGTGCCCAACCACTCGGGTCGGGGATTGAACGCAGACCTAAACAGGTGATAAGACATCACCAACGTCTGTTCTCCAGTTACATTATGTTTGCAGGTTGGCAGCTTAATTACTTTATTTCTTCCTATCAATCACTAGAACAAAATAGTTCCCGTAGCTGGTTTCAACGTTTGGGAAGAAATTGAAATCTAATCGCGAGTCTTGTTTTGGTACGAATATGATCAGAACTGACCCAAGACGTTGTCCGGTGCAGGTATGGTCCAGCGAGAATGTCTCACACCGGTATAAGTCCTTGAGAATTTGTTTGAAGCATCAGTATTGATCCAAGAGGCTGTTTTCAGACCTTCCCGCCAAACACACACCGAAACTACGACGTTGGTACAGCGTTCGAGCAAGTCTTAACACTTCCTAACCAGTTATAACAACCAATATAGCAAGTTGTAACAACGTTCTAATACGTCATAAACACGTTAAGCCAAGATGTAACAACTTTATTTCAAGTTGTAACAAGCGGAAAATAGAGACAGTTTCGGTTTGTGTTTCCAGGGCTTCAGTATCGACCCAAGAGGCTGTCGATACTGAAGGTCTGAAGGTCTGAAAATGTTCTATTTTTGGAGGCATTTGTAAGGCAATTTTTTTTTACCGCATTTTTAAAATGTTTTGATAGGATTTTTAAGACTGTATTGATGGCATTTTTAAAACTGTTTTTTGATGGCATTTTTAAGACACTGAAAACCCCAAAACGATCGCGGTATTAATAGACATAAGGACAGTATTTTATGTTCCTTTCGAAACGATAATCTCAGCCCGTTTTCTCAATTTTCCGCTACGTAAAAAATACAACTATTTTGACAAACCAGAAACGTGCGAACCCAAACAACCCCCCTAACCCCGTCGAGACCGATATACTGAATACGCCAATATTTCATATATTAATTTTGACTAATACATCACATTCTAAACCGCTTGGTCAACTCCGTAACAAAATGCGACGTATTACGCGAGAGACGACATGTGCTGGTTGTGTCGGGGTCTGTTAAACGGGTCAACGACATTCCTGTTAAACAGTATTGACCCGTTTCTCGCCCGCATCTTCACGCCATTTGCCACTCCGTAATAAATACGACTGTTTAGCGTTACCATATCAACGCACGCACTAACGCAGCCAACTAAACTTGTCGAGGGGCTGATGGGTTGAAAGCGTTAATATTGCTGAGGTTTGATTTGTGCTAACACGTCCGTTTTTTGACGGATTGGTCGATTCCGTAAGAAAATGGGACGTCTTGGGAGGGAAACCGGTTGTTTGCGCACACCTTCCAGCCTCGGTTCCTCTTACACTGTTGCCATCGTCGGCATTAATTCTCTCTCACATTGTTGCCATTCTAGGCGTCAATCCTCTCTCACTGTTGCCATCGTCGGCGTTAATTCTCTCTCACTGTTGCCATCGTCGGCGTTAATTCTCTCTCACTGTTGCCATCGTCGGCGTTAATTCTCTCGCACTGTTGCCATTCTAGGCGTTAATTCTCTCTCAGTGTTGCCATACTAGGCGTCAATCCTCTCACACTGGTGCCATTGTAGGCGTTAATCCTCTCTTACTGTTGCCATTCTAGGCGTCAATCCTCTATCACTGTTGCCATTCTAGGCGTCAATCCTCTATTACTGTTGCCATTCTAGGCGTCAATCCTCTATTACTGTTGCCATTCTAGGCGTCAATCCTCTATTACTGTTGCCATTCTAGGCGTCAATCCTCTATTACTGTTGCCATTCTAGGCGTCAATCCTCTATTACTGTTGCCATTCTAGGCGTCAATCCTCTATTACTGTTGCCATTCTAGGCGTCAATCCTCTATTACTGTTGCCATTCTAGGCGTCAATCCTCTATTACTGTTGCCATTCTAGGCGTCAATCCTCACCTAAACCTCAAATTCAGACGTACAAATATATGTGTTAATTATCTCGTGAAGAACACCAGACGTTTTAATTAAACATTTTATACGTTAATGTTTCCTCTACAAAAGCTGGACGAGTCTTGTACAACAGCACGAGATGCAACACGGCTTTTGTAATTATATATAATCTCTTTAATTCTTGACGACGGAATAGGAACAATTTAAATTGGATAATCTCTGTAGATTCTCGGTGAGTAAATGGAAACCAGGGGCCAGATTCACGAAGGAGTTACGCCAGCACTTACGAACCTGTACATCTTTTCTCAATCTTTGGCGGCTTTGTTTACAATTATTAAAGAGTTAATGAGCTCCGAAGCACCAGGAGGCTGTTTATAACAATAACAACAGCTGATTGTGAAGTTTTCATGCTTGTAAACTGTTCAACAAATGTAACCAAAGCCGTCAAAGATTGAGGAAAGATGTACACGTTCGTAAGTACTTGCGTAGCTGCTTCATGAATCTGGCCCCAGGTGATTCACCAAGGGGGTATTGTCATTATAAGTGACTATCACTTGGTGAAGAAAACTGAAGGCATGAAAGAATTAACACATCTTGTCACTGAGGCTGCGAACCATATCCATCAGTGCCTTCACCTCTGTTTCCGGTAACTCACGTTCACGAGCCGCCACCAGTGAAAAAGAAGCGTTCAGACGTGTCTGGGAGCTGTGCTTGAACTTGACGTGACAGAAGAGAGATTTAAGAATGAAGGTAGCTAGTGAGAGACTTAAAAAAAAAATATGAGAGCGTAAGAACGTAGAGTATCGTACCTCAGCCAACCAAAGACCCCAGTGACCTGATTGGGTCCCCGTGGTACCCCCCTTCCCCCCCCACATCCCTCTCCACCAATCAAATCCTCGCCACTCCCTATTTACTCCCTTATATGGACCTGTTTTAGCTACAATCTATGATGTATCTGGCCCCATCTACACATAAACAAGCAGCACAAAATTCACGTTTTCTATCTGTCAATAGGTTAGGTGGGTTGGTTGGGTTTGTACGTTTCTGGTTAAGCAAAACGTAGTTTTTTATGTTTCTAGTTAAGACAAAAGTATTGTACTCTTCACCTTTTTAATTTTGCATTTTTAACAGTTGCATTTATTTACAAATTAAGAGAACAGACTGCAAGAAATGTGGTGATCAGTCATTTCCTGTGTGCCGAAGGTCAGTTCCAGACAGAAGAAGACATTTTATTGACGTATCTTAAATGATGCGACGGCAAAATTCTCTGTCGCAACTGTGTGAGAAATATTAAGAGAAAGTGAGTGCAGTTCTCCTTGTGTATTTAACATTATCTCCTCCTCCCTCGAGACTGAAGCCCCCGATGACCAAGCATATACAATCCCAGTCATCCATCATTTGTGGACTATGCTTTTTATATATATATGAGTGATGTAATATCTCACCCCACTTGTGCTTTCTGCTGCACGGAGGACAACCCAGTTCTTCAACATTTTTCCCCCCATGACATGACAGTATGGTGAGCACTTTAGACTCCCACTAGTTAAAGAAAGGTTGACAGGAGAGGACCAGGTTGTACAGGGAAGGTTGCTCAAGCCCTTGAATTCCTCTGTTGACCTTTCTTTGATAACAGAAGCTTCATGTAGAAATATTTACATTTATGCTAGATAATTAGAAAGGCGACTGTGATTAGACATAGATAGCTCTAGATCTGGTATAGATTATAACTGAGGGTTGCTCTACGCCGCCTCATATGTCCTTGTAAATATTTGTTTATGATAAAATGTGTTCCGTGCATAGCTTTCATGTATGTATGTAGCGAACATTGTATAATGAATGCCTGCAGTACAATGTAAAATATGCGAAAGAGGTTATGATGAGGAAACTAAGTAAGTTCTTTGCAAGTATACTATTTTATATATCAAATTTTACATAAATTTTATTTATATAATAAAATTTTGTTTCAAATATATTTTGATGCATGTATTAAGAGGAAAATATAGAGGGTTTTCGCAGTGCATTAGTTAAAAAAATAGTAGCCAATTGACCATGATAACTTTATTAGCCTGTAAGTAAAAATATAAATAAATTCTCAAGTAAAATAGTGTGACCTTCATATCGCATATAATCGGTCATTATTTTAAAGTCCAGTTGCCTTTTTATTTAGAAAATAGTGCCTTAAATGTTAAAGAACATATTTACGTAAATTTTCGAGTACATTTTGATTTTAAAAGCCTAAATAGAGTGCATTAAATGTATCAGTAAACATTGACGAATGTTTGAGTACGTTTTGCTTTAAATGCTGAGAATATAGTGCCTTAAATATTTAAGAAAATATTGACTTGAATGTTAAGGTAAAGTTTCCTTTAAATGCCTGAATACATAATGACTTAAATGATTCAGAAAACATTGACTTGAATGTTCAAGTACAATTTTCCTTTAAATACCTTGACACTAAATAATAGTGTTAATGTTTTGGAGGAGAAAAACACCTTCAAACCAACATATACACACTTGTCAAACTTAACAGCTTATGTTGCTATATTATGTCTAGAATTAGGATTTAGCTTTAAGAATTACCTTTGTCTGTGATGTTTGTGGTATTTTCATATATTTAAGTGTTATATCTTACAATTATTCTTAAGTGTCACATTTGTAAAACTTTGGAAATGTAATATGAACAAGCACTCATACAGATATTTTTACCGCATCTGTCAGAATTTTAATAAAAATATCAATGCCTGACTCGTAGTTCATTTAAACTTTGCGAATAAATCGATTGAGAATATCGTACTTTTGTTTCATTTAATTCCTTTTCATGCTTCTGTTAACAATCCTTCGAAATGATAGACTCTCATAACTTACAAAACAGTGTGGCTCAGTATTCAGCAAACAAGTTGCAGCTATACTTACGTGTGTAAGTATAGCTTACAAAATCATTTAGATCAGGGACAAAGTAGCTTGAAAAAATATCGTGGCTGGATGACTACGATCTAATGCAACACTTAACAAAACTGGTGCACAAGAACTACCTGAACTCACACAAACAAATCAATCATGCTTCCTACTCAAAACCTGTGAGCACCAACAGAGATAAAATCTAAATAAACGATATCAAAAGTGAGATTTGATTTGATTTGATTCAGTTAATCTCAAAACCTGTGAGCACCAACAATGAGTCAAGATCTAAGAGGGAAAATATCAGTGTGTGTTATGTAGGAGTCTTAGAATATTTATCACTAAGACGTTACACCTTCCTATGACAGTCTCGTAACACTGACTAGTCACCATGGAAAGTTAAGTGAGGCTAACTAAAGGTCGTCTTCCCTTCAATCTTACTCAAAGGTTGAAAATAAGGTTGAATATATTTCTAAATAAACGATATCGTTTATTTAGAGATATAGAAGACATTCAGTGATTAAAACTTTGAAAAACGTACCAAATAATGAAAGAAAACAATATGACTCAGGACGTGACAACCTCGGAGCGTCGACCCAGCCAGAGAATCCCCGCTTGGGCGAAATCGTCATTTTTCTCAAAACTCAAAATCAAAACCAGCCATAGAATCGCTTTGAAAATTACCAATTCACTAAAAACTAAAACGGAACATATAATGAAAGTAAACTTAGCGCTTCTTGGTGATGGGTCACACAATCAGACTGTGGACAAGAAAAAATCGATACCTCGGCGAAATCGTCATTTTTCTCAAAACTCAAAATCAAAACTAGCCATAGAATCGCTTTGAAAATGGTACCATTAGATTTACCACATCAATTTACGTTTCTTTCTGTAAAGTCTTTCTTTGCTAATTTTAAATATGAAGGCCTTTACAGCCATATTTACCAAGATACAGCCATCTCAAATAGCAGACAAATCATCAGGTTTTCTCAACATATTATTAAGCAAAATGAGTTCAAAAACATCTAATAATAATTATACTGATCACAATTAAAAATGGGTAGTAAAAATTGTCAATTCTATATTGTTTATTTACTTAGAGATATATTATTACGAATGGTTCTTAAATGAGAGTATGTGTGGTACTTATGTGGGCATACGTATGATACATATGGGCATATCTATGGTACTTTTATTGGCATATGTATGATACACAAAAATATGTACCATATTAAGGGCTAAATGCCCTTAAAATACCTAACATTTGCCCATATAAGTACCATACATATGCCCATATTTGTACCATACTTATGCCCATAAAAGTACTATACATATGCCAATATTTGTACCATACATATGCCCATATTTGCACCATACATATGCCCATAAAAGTACCATAGATATGCCCATATGTATCATAAATATGCCCTCATAAGTACCACACATATTCTCATTTAATAATCATTCGTAATAATATATCTCTAAGTAAATAAACAATATAGAATTGACAATTTTTACTACCCATTTTTAATTGTGATCAATATAATTATTATTAGATGTTTTTGAACTCATTTTGCTTAATAATATGTTGAGAAAACCTGATGATTTGTCTGCTATTTGAGATGGCTGTATCTTGGTAAATATGGCTGTAAAGGCCTTCATATTTAAAATTAGCAAAGAAAGACTTTACAGAAAGAAACGTAAATTGATGTGGTAAATCTAATGGTACCATTTTCAAAGCGATTCTATGGCTAGTTTTGATTTTGAGTTTTGAGAAAAATGACGATTTCGCCGAGGCATTGATTTTTTCATGTCCATCGTCTGATTGTGTGATCCGTCACCAAGAAGCGCTAAGTTTACTTTCATTATATGTTTTGTTTTTGTTTTTAGTGAATTGGTAATTGATTAATTACTTTCTCTAAGCTATTTGAGGCAAAGAATTATTTCCCTCAAAGTAAAGTTTAAGGGAAATTATGCAATTCCCTATAACTTGAAATATGGGCATATGTATGGTACATATATGGGCAAATGTATGGTATTTTAAGGGAATATACGTGGTACGTATATTGGCATAAGTATGATACCTGTATGGGTAAATACATGGTACTTTTATTGGCATATTTCTGGTACTTTTATCGGCATATGCATGGTACGTTTATGGGCATTTTTATGGTACTGCTTTGGGCATGAGTTTGGTAGTTATATGGGCATGTGTATGGTACTTATATGGGCATGTGTATGGTATTTATATGGGCATGTGTATGGTACTTATATGGGCATGTGTATGGTATTTATTTGGGCATGTGTTTGGTACTTATATGGGCATGTGTATGGTACTTATATGGGCATGTGTATGGTACTTATATGGGCATGTGTATGGTACTTATATGGGCATGTGTATGGTACTTATATGGGCATGTGTTTGGTACTTATATGGGCATGTGTATGGTACTTATATGGGCA